ACAATAACTTTGTTGTTAGTATGGAGCTTGCGGAATCAGCCGAGGATTGCCGATTGACGGTCAACCAATCAGCGTTTTCACCAAAGTTTGGTGAAAAATTTTGAAACTTGGATTCGATTGGCTTATATAAACTAGGTCAAACTATTTTCGTCAGAGGTAACTTGACACGATGAAGATAGGCTATTGTGAAGAGGTTAGTGTCAAGTTATCTCTGAAGCTCAGGGTGGGGCACAGGGACCGTGATTACAAGATACCGCGAATAGAAAATAGATTTTTAGAAAATAGACTTTCCATGTGAACGAAGGCTAAGCTTTCACACATACCACCTTTATATATACAATGTATGTCTGGCCTTTATATAGAGATATAATTAAGAGTGAGCGTTTTCATTTTCAAGAAAACAAGCCTATAAAACTTAGCATACACATCTAAGGTCTGAGGATAGCAGTTGTGTCACTTGCAAGTTAGCAAAGGCCTCCTGGGGATTTTGACAAATTAAAATTCAAATTTGGGGGCAGTTCAAGGTAGGAATTCCATTACTAAAGAAGTATGTAGCAGCATGCCACAGAGCATAGGTGCACTCCAATAAATGTGGAAAAATAGAACTACGCTGAAGGCTGTCTATCCACGCTCTGCTGTCACCTTGATTGGTTAGAAAATGATGGTCATTAAGTCGTTACATGATTTAAAAACTGGGTGCATATACTTTAGAACCACATAAAATGACCTTACGGTGCCATACCAGTCTACCATGAAGCAAAAAATAAAAAATACATTAAAATAATAAATACATTAAAATATTTTTAAAAAATTAAAAGTACTCAAAAAGAATGTAGTAAAATGGAGAGAGCTTGTGAAACAAGAGTGCCCCTAAATGTGCCTTAAATCTTCAAAATCATAGAGAAACAGCCGTCAAATCACACTCAAACTCACTCCACTTACACTAACCCCCCCCCCAGCCCCCCCCCCCAGGCTACATCATCCAATTCATCACTTGTTAATCAAACTCGGGGATTGAAAGAAAAAATCCACGATAAATGCTTACGAACTCCTCATCATTTAGAGAACGGAGCAAAGTTTATGCACCCCACTTTTATTTAATCATGTAGCCATTTTACGACAATTGTTTTCTAGGGGTGCTTTCCCAGAGATTTAGATCGATCTAAAGATTAAGTTTTAGATCGACCTAACTCCCTGGGGGTTCACGCTAAATTGCAGTCAGCCGAGCGGGCACCATAGTTAATTACCCCCTTACAGCTTTTAGTAGGCGGGACAGATGCTTAAGCCGGCCAAGCTGACAGTAATCTAGTGAGACTCCTCACAGGGATAGATCGATCTAAAAATCTATGGAAATGGGGTGTAAATTAATCATGGTGACAACCAGGCGTGTCTAGCAATAAATTAATAATCCACACCATAATTACTGGCCATACTCACATCTTTATACCAATACAGACCCGATATTGAATATGATTTTAAGAAATTACCAGCAAGGAATGAATTACACACATCCGATCCTATCAAGGCAATGCGCGTGAGATCCGTCGTCTGCGTGCGCGAATATCGCGCGCATTTCAGCCTACTAGAAAACTACATGAGATGGAAAAAGTCCATTCTAGCGGCCCAAATCGTCTTTGTGAAAATATAAGTACGTAGTTTTACCCCAAGACGCTTATCATGCAGTGCATAAGTGCACCTGTCTAGTCAACGTGACCGATATACGCGTTAACATTACAATGTTCCAAAGCCAAGCTCTCCAAAACTTATCAATGTAGTACGTACTAAAACAACATCTACTAGTCAACTTACCTCTTATTCTCCTCGTTCACGTTATACGCCTTATCTCTTATATAATTTGCTGTTAATCCGGTTGGTAAAGTCCGTTGCTGCGAAATTTGTAATAAATGAAGAACTGTAAGTGTATGCTAAAGTCGGTGTGTTTTTCTTCGTGAACAACAATCGCTTTCTGTCTGCCCTATTCGATGAAAGCGCTGCTCTGATTGAACCAAATTTTGTGACGTCATATATAGTCTCGAGGCCATTCTGAAAAACTTTTCATTATTTTAAACACTGACCCATGCAATGTAAATGAAACTTTGCCATTCTACACATTTGCTTCATGTTAAAATTTCTAGAATAAAATCAAATAAAAGAACAATGCCAAATATGCCAAATATTACAATATTTTGAATGCATGTTCGTGCACGTGCAATATGCCATTCCGGGTATATTCTTTACAGTGCCTATGATTGGTCAAACCTCTGCAGCCTTATTCATTATTGCGTTTATCAATGAAAGTGATGCAAATTCCAGCCCGTTCGCTGTTATAAACCATAGCCAAGAATAAAATGGAGGGGAAGGGGTACATTGGATTAAGTTGGGACCTACACCAGTGATGAAATAAAAATTCTTTCTTAATTATTATGGGTCATTCCTTTACATCTCGATGCACCTTGCAAATAGGCTAACTGAGCGCTAAATTTTACAAATTCAGGAGCGTGGGTCAAATAAAGCGCACGCTACTTTTTGTATCAAATCATTAACGTGTGGGAGCAGGAGAAGGGGGTCGGGGGTTTGGGAGCCCTCCCCCGAGAATATTTTGAAAATTTAAGCATAAAATATTGTAATTCTGTGTCGTTTTCACCAAAGAATCTTTGAAAGGTATCGGTCCTCCAAATATGGAAGATAGACCGCAGTGTGTGGAAAAATGTGACAACGCAAAATGCTTCCCCTAAGAAAATCAGGTAAAATTACACATTATATGATGTAGTAAAGTGTTATTTAAACTAATGATTGGTATTCCAAAAATACGTTTGGCAAACAATTTATTGATCATGTGTCCATTTCCGTCTGCGGCATATTCATACATTGCTAATGCGCGCATTGGTAGGCCTACAGGTGTAATGTGCAATATTTTGATTGTGACTGGTGAATAAAATTGTTTTGGGATATTTTTTACACAAAACAAATCCACATTGTGTGAATCAACTAGGAAAGTACAGTTTTGGATGGTAAATCAACGGGAATTTAAATGACAGTATGTGCAAATACAATGTATGTGCCCTTGTTGAGGCCTACTTTAATGATATTGTGGTCATTGCCGCTGTTTTGCAATGATAAAAAAGTAGGCCTACCGTGAAGAGTAGAAATATTATTATATATTTTTAGCCTCTTTGCTAGAAATATATGTTATCTAAATCCGCCACTGTTCTCTATTGTCTATTATTATGGGCTAGGAGAGGTTGACTACAAAATTATATAAGTCGCAGATTCAATCTGTTTCTGCTTTTTCTTCTTTATTGAAAAAATACGATTTAGCAGCCTAAGATAAGCAAAAAGACTTCACTTTTTGTGAATCGGAAACCAGGTCATATATACTTACAGTACAGGGCAAAACAGGTCATGCAAGAAAGTGTGCTAATTATGGAGGTGATGCAAGGCTAGTGTCCAAGATCGAATTCTTTCACCTGTTAATTGGGCCCGTAGCCAGGGGGGGTCGGGGGGGGGGTGGCATCGAAAGAACCGCCCCTTTTGTCACGAAAAGGTCCATTTTGGGTAAAATTTTATCTAGGTACACATAAGTTTCATTGTAAAAGGTCCACTTTTTTCAGAAAAAGAACCCCCCTCCCCTTTTGAATTTGTTGGCTACGGGCCTGTGTTTTATTATCCAGTCTCTGCCCAAATACAGTAAAAGTTCGAGATTTAGGCCGTGTTCAGAATATATAGAAGTTATCGTTTTAGCAGGATCGATCTATCTCAGCGGGATTCTCGCTAAGGCGCAGTCAAAGTAATCAGCTTGATTGTCCGGCACGACACCTCGTAACTTGAAGTACTTGGGTAATGGCCGGAAAACCAAGAAGCTGTGTGGAAGTTTACAACATCTACAACTTCTTGGGAAATTTTTGTGGTCCATGATGTAGTTCCTGCTGCTTTGCGAGGGATCTGAGAATTGCGCATGACGAGAAGAGAGCGCCATGGTGGTCACTGTAGTCCTCTGCTGTTCTTTACAGTAATTAAGGCATCGCTACGTGAGGGTGACGTTCCTAGCTGGGGCCCGTATAAAAAAAAAACGTTTGAAGCGTGCACAGTGCCAGAACTAAAAAGGTGGCTGAAGCACAGAAATGCGTCAACTACAGGAAAGGAGACGAGGTTAGTTGGGCGGTGTTTTACTTCTCAATTTAAACATAATGCACTGTACAACATGAATTCACCGGGTGTCCGAGCCATGGAAGACATGGAAGACAAACTAAACGATGACGCACCAGTTGTTGCTTTTAGAGTTGGTCGGCAAGGTGAGCCAAAACTATGGTCTTTCCTCTGTAAAGCCCCCTTTACACTGGACGGTGTCCTTTCTGCGACCCGTAGAACGGCCCCGTTTGAGAGTAAAAAAAAAAAAGAAAAAGAAGAATGCTTTACGTCCCGACAACTGGCCTATCATTGAACATTCTTTCTGCAACCAAAGCGATGCTTGTGCCTCCTTTCTACGACCACAGCGATGCCAGTTTCATGGTCGCACAAAGGACGTTAAAAGGACGCCGTCCAGTGGAAAGGGGACTTAATCAACACCTTCTAATGTTGTGTATTAATTAGGTGAGACTAGTAATTTCGACACCTTCATAGATGATAATTGACCAGTTTACCATGTCTTACACTAATACATTAACAGACTAAAATGTCATTTGGAATTAAGTGTGAAAATTCTGTCAGACTGAAACAAAATCCGTATGACCAATGCAAAACTATAGAAATACTGCAAATTATTTGATGTTTTAATTTTTTCAGGTGTATATTTTATCATATTCAATCATAGATAAGGGACGAACGGACGCCGTCTTCTTGGTCTTCAGGAAGACCGTCACAATTTTTCAAGTTTACATTAACAAACAGTTTTTCTGGCGGAAGACGGTCAAAAATGGAGAATGGATCAATAAAGGTAATTTGGAAGACTGTCAGAAAATATCTCTGTATTCGTCTGTGTAGATAAAAAAAATAGTCATATAAAGTGTTTTCCATGTACATGTTTTTCATGCTTTGCAACACTTTTAAGAGAGAAAAAAAGACATATTGTCATTCTTTACTACTAAATATATTTGTATTACTTATCACATACATGGTTAGATTATATTTATTATAATGAAAAAGTCTAACTGGTACAATAAGTTTTTATAAGATATTAACATTGATTCTTGAGTTTCAGATATCCTGGTTTCCTAAGACATTGCCCCATTCTAAGCAGGTCACTGACAGTTTTCAATCTGCATATCATGATTTTTAACACTTAAATCAGACAAAAAAGATTATATATATATTCGATAACACGAATTCTGAGCCGGGTGTATTTTCTCTCCGTGTGTCGCTGTCTTGGTATGTTGAACCCCAGTAGTACACACAGTAATGCCTGGATACAAGAAGTCACGAAAGTCCTTGAATGCTTCATAAATAGCAAATCCTGGGTAAACCTTCACAGTACTGGTTTCTTTTTCCATATCTTCACGCTAACAGTGTTATATGTCTTTTTTTTATCACATATCGTTTTCCACTGGACCCTTTTTTGCCTGTTGCAAATCGGCCCGCTGTGACTTTAGATTTTTTGAATCTCACTGAAAGATCGTGTACTTTTTCCTCCATTTTATACATAATCCCGTTTTTTTAGTTCACAAATATTAGCATTTTTGTTAGTGTCTGAATATTGTGTACTGTAGGAATGGTCATCGTGAGTTCCGACGTCTCTTTTTGCATTTTTAGACACTTCATATTCACTGGAATGCAACGGCTGTCTTGCCCCCGATTAACTAACTTTTTTTTGGAATATCGTTGGTCTTCTAATATTATAGGTTTTCTTCCCGTCTTCAAAATATTCGGTGCTAACGCAAAACACAATTGCCTCATGAAGAAGACGAAAAAGGTCTATTGTCTGCCACTCACTGTTGTAACTTAAAGTACTTGGCTAAAGTCGGGAGAACTTTGTGGTCCATGATGAAGTTCATGTTGTTTTGCGAGGGGTGTGCCAGACAATTAAGCTGATTACATTTTTTTTTTTTGCCTTAGCGGAAATCCTCGCTGAGATAGATCGATCCCGCAAGTTCGATAACTTCTATTCTGGACACATCCTCAAGCAACAGGGCCGGGGGGGATGGTGGGAGGTGTGTTTGCGTGTGTGTGCGTGTGTTTACGCGTGTGTGTAGGAGGTCCTAGGGCAGGTGGAGGGTTTTGGGAGTTTGGAACTGCCTTCTGACTGGAAAATTGTCTACTCTGAAAACACCCACTGGTAGACCCAGGTGCTGTACCTGTTCTCAAGTTAAGTCAACTAAGGGAGTACAAACGTCCACTGTTTTTCAGAAGAAGAACCCCCGCTCCACCTCGTTTTGAAATTGCTGACTCCAAGCCCAGTTCGCCAGGTAATTTGTTTTAATTAAAATAAAAGTATGGTCTTCCATTGTATTTAATGTTAACAAAAAATTATTCCACATATCATCAAATTCAGCAAAAAGGGTAACAAAACATCAAACTTTTAATATTAAGAGATGGGACGCTTATTCCTGTTTTGTGACTTTCCTTCTTCCGTCTCTCTTTGTGTGTGTGTGTGTGTGTGTGTGTGTGTGTGTGTAAGCGCGTCCCGTATTTTAAATACCGTTTTAAATAATAAAATATTACAATAACAAAGATAACAACAACGATATCTACCTACCTGTAGTGGTGGACGGTCTCTACATAAACTGACTGGCTTTCCATTAACTAATCACGTTCCAAGCAAATATATCACTCTTCATTTCGTAAACCTCGGTGCGGTTTAGGTGGCATTAATTCGAAAATTATTACCTTCTATATTTAGTCATAACAGCTTTACATATGTTGATGAATCTGGAAGCCACAATAACGGTGTACGCTCTGACCACAGGTGCGCCAGAAAACTGTTAGGTGCCATTCAGAATGAGAAGATCCGAGTGCTGACTGGTCCACTGCCTAAATATGGCGGACGTACATG